TTTACCAAGGTATGAAGTGTAACAAATGTACATTTCTGAATGCTCCAGTTTGGACAAGAAAGAGTAACCCAAAGTCACTAATCCTGCTTGGGTTGAGCTGCACCCCTGTGAGCTGAGCACAGGAATTCCCAGGGAAACTCTGAGTCACATTTAAGAAGGGGAGTTAAAAGCTTCCTGAAGTTGCAGTTATTGATTGAGATGCAGCAGCCTTTGGAGAACGTGCACTTTCCATATTTTGGAGTGATTAACAATTTTTGCTCAACAAAGCCTCGGGAAGGCCAAGAGTGTTAAAACTTAATTGCTCCTCTAGCACAGGAGGAAGTTAAGGTTAATGCATGATAATAAAGCTGCTCGATGAAGCCTGCTGGCCTTTCATGAGCACAGTGGGGGTGGATGCAGTGGGAGCTCACTCAGAATGCTAAAATCAGGGTGGAAAATATTCCAGCAATACTGGGATCCCTGCTTTTATTGTGAGTCTCCCTGGGAATTAACAAGGTATCCCTCTGCAACAGAATTCACTCTGTGGAGATGCACCAAAATATAATGAGATGTGGTTCTATCTTCTGAAATTCATCCAAGTTCCTCAACCTTTTCTACACCACGTGCACTGTTTCCCTTGGGCAATGCCGGCCCTACAGTACTTTTGGCGGTGCTGTCGAAACTAAAACTTGGATTTTCCTGCCAAATCCTGGGCTGTAGGAGTTCTTTCACAGCAAATACTCTGGGATATACATGCTTTATTACTTATACACTGCTGCTAGTGTGTGTCTCAGAGAAAGCTCAGGTGGTTACGAGCTGTGACCTTGGGAGATCTCTTTGCACGCTTTCACTTGTGTGTGTTGTCTTCAGTTTGGCTCATCTGCAGAGTGAGCATTAAAATACAGGCAAGGAAAGCTGGATATTGAGGTATGTTTCCCCCTTCAGTGCACAAGGTGAGCTGGCCTTGATTTACAGAGAAATCTGAACCATAGAGGAAGTGTATTAAAAAAAAAAAAAAAAAAAAAAGAGTAATTTCACCTGAATTTAACATATTGTAGCTGAAGGACAAAACTTAGATGAGCAAAAGACTTGTCTCCTACAATCTAATGGAAAAATAAAAAAGGACCGCAGACTACTGTCTTGGCCAACAGAAAATCAAAGAACACAGGGAGATCAAATGTGACCTTGTTTTTTATTTTAACATAGTGCAGTCAGCGTGGCACAGGGTTCTGGGGTAGCAATATCAGCAGCTACAGCATCAGTTAAAGTGTCAAGGTGAGAGTGTGACTTTTATGCCTCATTGACCAGTGCCTTTCAGTTATCTCATATTTTAAATGTGTTTGCTATTTTACGGAATAAAATCTTGGCCTGTCCCCTCCTGTTGGTCAGAAACAGACCCTTGTGCCATGTTCTTGCAGCTTGAGGGTGATTGCAGTGCTGGCTGGATCCTCAGGCAGAGGGGCAAGTGCTCTTAGTGTCTGGCTATAAGTGGTTGACTGTCACCTTTTTTAACATGCTCAGTCTTCACTGGCCCATGGCCTGTGATAGTCTTTTTAAACTCAAATTTTCCAGACAGAAATGTGAAATCAGAGTCCAAGTGCATCTCAGTTTGAACAGCTAGAGTTGACTGAATACACCTGTGTCCTATCCATTAAAAACATCATTTGCAGTGCACTGGTAACTTTGCTAGAATTGCATCAGAAGAGAATTAATGCCTTTTTTTTTTTTTTTTTTTTATGCCAGTTTTCAATGAGTCATCACACACTTCTTCCTTTCCCACATGAACATCCTGTTCATTATTTATGGACCATGGAGAGTGGTGTGTTAGCTCCAAATGGCACAGAGTCAGGCAGAATAGATTGTTGCAACCTCCAAGGACCAAATCTGCTTTCTCACAGCCATATTGGCATTGGTTGGGCTAAAATGATTTAACCCAGGTAGAATTTGCCCGGAATGTTTACTAGGAGATGGAAATCTAACTGAAGATTAATACAGATGAGGGATATTGAAATGGAAAACTGGGGGTAAATATCACTTCAGGAAGAGCGGAAGATAGGGATGAAAGAAATAGGAGTTTGTCCAAGTAAAAGCAGAATTCATTAATGCCTGCATAGAGGTTATATTCCCATGGGAAGTCAGATGATTCCATGAGAAAATGTTTTACAATAAGGATTTGGTTATCAACATTTTCCCTATGAACAGATCTACCTTTTCCCCACATCCCAATAAAAGTTTCCCATTCTGGAACTGAAAACAGAATTGGTGGGTTGGCATTAAAGCCAGAATGCAGCACTTCAAAGTCTTGTCTTATATTTATTGCAAATATGTAGTTCAAAAGGGTCAAAATCATCCCATGTGATCTCTTGCCAGTGATAAACTTCCTTTAATAAACCCATCCGGCATCTACCAGATTCTCAACATCATTCCAGTCTACAATCTGTTTATCTTGATCTGCTGGTGCCTTGGGGTGATTTCTGAACCCATGAACTCTTCCCTATACAAATTAGATTTCATTAGATTTTCTATTCATTTACATAAAGGCCTTCACTCTGAGAACCTGCGTAGCAACTGATGGAAATCCTTTTATCCCTTGGTTTGTAATAGGTGTGTGGGGTCAGCTTTCACAGCAAATTCTCTGTATGTTCTCTTTAAAACAATAATATTTACAGGGAATATATTGTTTACTGAGTGAAGGAACGGACACTTGATTTTGAAACTCATACAATGATAATCCAGAAAAGGACCCAGGTTAGATTTACAGGATAAGAATATAGAGATCCTCAGCTTTTTAATCCCAAAGCAGAGTTTCCCTGCTTACCAACCTTCCCAAGTCCCTTGGACCTGGGCTGACAGGGAGACATTGTGAACACCCAAGGTAAATCCCTTGGGGATCTGCTTGGAGAGTGCTGAGCCTTTACTGCTTGTGACAGGAGCTGCAGGAACTCAGTCCTTCAGAGAACACGCTGAAACATGAGCCTGGAAAAATTATTATTCTTTTATTTTTCCAGACGCGAAATCTGCATCTTAAGATTTGCAGGATAGTCTCTTAAAATCAGAATACTTAATTCACTTATATATAATCTCTAACATACCTAAAGACTGAATCTGAGGAAATTCAGAATTTTATAGCTTTTCTGCCTCGCTGAAGGTGTGGCAGTATTTCTGGAGGAGAACGACAAGCCCAAAGTTTTATGTGGAATTTTGGGAATCCAACGTTGCCTTTTTTCCCAATGTTAAGCAAACAGTGGATGAAAGCTCATGTAGCACAACTGTTCTGAAAGAAGGCTTAACTTCTCCCCTTGAATGGCACGCTTAAAGAGGAATAACAAAGCAGTTTTTCTTTAGAGATATTCACATAGCTTCTGACTAAAGCATGCTTGAAAGAACCTTGTTTCAACCAGCTCACAGCAGATTCTTTGGGCTGCAATAACAGAATAAAATAAGCATTTAAAATCTGCTTAAAAATTCCTTGGGGTCCACTTCGCTTCACCATAGCCATTAATATCTAAGGGTAGAAATTTCCCTTTTAATGCATTTTGCCCGTGGAAATTTCATGTGGCAGCAGAGATAGCTTTTAATTTTGTTGCTGTTCTTTAAAAAAAGTACTTTATTTATGTTATAAACTGTCCTGACTCTGAACCAACGCTCCACTTATCATTCCCTCCGTGCTCCTGCTGAGCACTGGGCCTGGTCATTTTGTCAGTGCCGTGCTGAGTATTGACTTCAGGAGAGGACCCCCTAAAGCACAACCTGAAAAACTCCAGCAGCTCAAGGCAGAACAGAAATCCTCACAGTGTAAGAGGTAAAATTAGTTTTCAGCCATGATGCTATAATCCATCATGCAAGACAACTGCAAAATTACTTTCAATAACACTTTCGCGTTGCCAATTTACACTAAAAATTCCCAGTCAATACTTGTTACTACAGTAAGTAACCCAGTGCCCTGCAGAATATCACATGCATTGTATCTACCAAAAGAATTTCATTTGAACAGATAAACTTGTTAGCGAAAACAGCAGTTAAAAATTAAAACAGTTAATCATTGATTTTGCGGCCTCGCGTTACGTGTTCATCTTCATGCAAAATTTCATTTAGTAAACCCAAATGAGGTGTGATGGGAACTGTATTTTTCTTGTAAGGAGACAAAACAGGCAATGAAGGGTTGTAGGATGCTGACAGCTCCAGAGAGGAGGAGTGCCCTCGTGTAGGTGCAGCATACAAATGAAAGAGTTGGTATGGGGAAGCTGTGCTTGGCTGCTGCTCTTGGGTGATGGTTCAGGGCTCACACATGCAAGAAGGAAGGTGCTGAAGGTGCCTTCCTGCCCTGTGGAGCTGTATGTCCCTAATCCCAGCCTGTCCACTGCAGCTCGTGGGGCCAAGGAGCACAGAGCAGGCTGTGACACCCATGGAATGTGTGAGGTCCAGCTGCTGTGCTGGTAAACACAGAGCAGGAGCCTCCTCTTACTCAGTGTGTACAACCCAGTGTCTGCATGCTGGGAAAAGCAGCTTCTGCAGTGGTACAGGCAGGGGACTTCTGGCTGGTCCACAGACTGAAACTGGGAATATGGAATTTGTCAGTGAAAGAGCTGGAAAAAGCACAGTCATGTCCTGTCTCCAGGATGCTGCAGCAGCAGCACTGGTAGGCAGGAAGCTCTTACAGAACAGCATTGCTGTGTTTTTCCAAGGAATCAAGACAGACAGTTGAAAAATGGGGCTAATCTCTTGCTTCCATGCAGAGAAGATGACATTTTATACTGATGGAACAATCTGGAAGAAATATTCTGAGGGGAACCCTCTGTGTCTCCCTTTCCAAAGGTACTTTGGAGAACCGAGTTTTATCACTATAAAAGCCTCTTATTTGGACCAAAGATGTAACAAGATTTGTTCACTGTCAGGTAAAATCAGAGAAACATCAGTGGGATGAAAGGGGTGTGTGTGTTGTAGGAGAGGACAAGCTGGAAGTTTTTTCAGTTTGCTGTGCACTTTCTGAAAGTTAATTTCTGGTGTTGTTGAACTTATAGACTTAGTGGCAGCTTGGAATTCAAGTGACTATTTGACGAAGAGAATGAGATTTTCAAGATTAAGAGGTTTAATTTCTCGCACTGAGATACATGTATTTTTCATTACTTTCTCTAAATTATCCTAATTAAGCTCTAGATAACCACAAGGTCAATATACCAACATGAAATTATAGGGCATCATCAATTAAAGGCTTTCCAAATGTGAATAAAGCAAATATACAAGCTACATTAACAACCTCTTTCTATATCCATTAAATGCAGCAATAGTGGAATAGGAATGCCATAACTTTTCTGTACAAAAAGAAAACATTGATGAATATTAAATTCACAGTTAGATGATGCACCATCTAGACATAACTTGATTTGATACGATCCAGGCTGCTCTGCATGTCCCTTTTATTGCTAACAGTAGGCAGCTTCTCCTGAGCATCCTGTGTGAACACAGTATATGTATGTGTCAAACATAATTTCATTAATCTGTTGCTTCTTCAGACATAAAATAGACTTTGAAGTTCAGAATTCGCTTGATAAAGTGATGACCTGACTGGATTTTTCACATTCCTGAGTTTATCACACAGAGTTGCTGGCAATGCAAACTTGGAACTTTTGCCCATGATCAAGTGCCTCCTGTTTCAGTGGATCACCAAATACAGTATTTGAGACAGAAATCATGCAGCTGTTGGCCAGAGGAAACGAAAAGAAACTTACTTTTATACGTTATTCTCGTTATGGTGTCTCTGTTAAGCATACGATTTAGAAATGGATTTGATGATTCAGATACCTACAGAAGAGAAAATGAAACAATTTCAAGGCCTTCTCACAAACATTTCCTTTCCAGAACTGTAGCTGTTCCGTCACACTCACTCCTGACACTCCTCTAAATTGGACCTGCCTTTTTTCCCCCCCTACTCTTATGGAAAGAGGAGATAATTACTTCGTTGGTTTTCTAAGAAAGCCTAATAGAAAGTTGGTATCCAAAAATAAATCCCCCAAAAAACAGAGAGGGGAGAACAGGGTGAATAGAAATTGATGCCTGAATAAAACCATGAACATAGGGTTTTTTTCTCCAACAGCTGTGATGGGATTTGCAGGTGGCTGGTATAATTAGGCCGGATTATCCTAGAGTATTCTATCCCTTTCTATTTCTTGACAATTATAATTTCCTTGCAGCAGACTATTTCAAATAAAAGCTTTTTGTTTTACACATGGGTAACATATGAGGCAACACTTCATGTTCAGGTGGAATTTCCTGTCCATGAGTTTCTCCCTCTTCTCCTCTTGTCCTATTGCTCAGCAGCACCGAGCAAAGCTTGGTCCATCCTCTCACCCTCCCTTCAGATACTTCTAGACATTGAAAATATTCCCTCTGTCTTCTCTTTTCCAGGCTGCTTTTGAAGCTTTTTTTCAGTTCTTCCCCTTTTCATGAATTCAAGTCACATTGTTGGGTCATGATACAATACGTTTTGGATGAAAAAAAGAAAAGGTAGCCTAAATATCTTCCTTAGATATTAGCCCTGTGTGAAAATTGCCCTTTTATATCTAATTATTCAATGTGCTCTGTGAAATGCATATTTTAACTCTGAGGTCAGTGTTTTGTCAGGAACTTTATGAAATGGGATTAGAGTACTAAAGGGAAGTAATAGATATCCAATATGTAAGGTGTGATGAGGGAAGTTATTTATTTCAGCATGAAGCACTTATTCAGAAATACATGCTTTTTTAGGCTGATGAAACAGATACATAATGGCAGATTGTTAACAACATTTGGAGGAGAGAACTTCATTCTTCGTATAAAATCAGAGAAAAGGTTTCTCCAATGTAATTAGAGAGGTTTGAGTAAACTATGAAGTCTTGAGTTCACTTCTAGATCACTGTGCTCAGGTCAGGACGGTGCTGTCTCTGGATTCCAGATCAGGCATTGCTAGAGTATAAGGAGGAGTCTAACAACTCCTAGATTTACAGTTCAGGGATAAGAAGTTTACTGTCTATATATCAGGAACCAATAATACTGAGTACTTACTTTCATGAATATGGAAACTACCACCAACCCATTAGGGCTCTTTGCAGCTTCTGTGACGTTTGTGTACAGCTCGTGGTTATAGTGGATCAGCTGAACCTGGAAAACAGGGAAGTCAAACATCACAGTTAACCAGCAGCAAATCACAGCATCCAGTGTTTGTTAAATACTCTCCATCCCCCCACTGGATTGTATCAGGATCCCATCCACGCTGAGGGTATTTTATAACAGTACAATTTTTCAGGCATTTTGCAGCACCCGTGATTTTAATAATTTCAGTCGCCATCTGGCTCCAACTGGCACAGCACCAGCATGTTTTCTTCTAAATTGCCAGTGAGTGAATTTACCCACATCCAGTCAGGAATTGCACTGCAGGGGTTGACATCATTTCCCTGTTCCAACAGCACTTGCCATAGGCACCAAGTAATCTCTACTTCTCAGCCTCAAGCCAAACACAGAGGAGTCAGGGGTTGAAATATTTGAAGAAACATATGGGACACAGGTTTGGAGCTGTTAAAACCAGCACTTGCAGAATTCAAAATACTAATATTCATTGGCCCCATATTTTACAAATTTGGTTATAAAGGCTCCTACAGTTAGGCACTTATTGTATTATTGTTAACCAGGTGCTCTTTAGCTCCTACAGCTTCCCTTTTGCTGTTCAGTTGGATGATTTGTTGGAAGTTTTAAATTATGAAGGTACAGTCCCTCTCTCTGTATATGTAAATGTCTCACCCAGAACCATGGTATTTGACTTGTCTGGGGTCACTGGGCACTGTACCCATTTACATTGCAATTTGTGGCCTTTGTAGCCAAAACAACTTCAATGAACTGTTGAGACAGTTAAGTATTTCTAAATAGCTGAAAGCCTAGTCAGCTTTATTTAGCCCAAAGATCTCAGTTTTCAGATGTCAATTAGACATTGGCATTTTTTTAAGGCAAGCAAGCAAACCCAACTGAAATGAAAACAAAACCAAAAATGCCAAAGGAGCCAATGGAGTTCTCTACTAAATTCTGACAGCCAGAAAGCAGGACAAATGAAGGTCTCATGAAGAACTAATAAGAGCATTTGCTCTACAGCACAGAGAGGTTATAAGGCTCATTAGTCATCACTTTGTGTACTACTGAACTTTGATAACATCAGAGTTCTGGGGACTGTGCTCTCATTCAAACTTCTAGGTTTAGCAATATATTTTTCTTTTTATGTACAACTCTTCACTCTGGAAACAAAACTAACTTGTGAATTATCAAGGAAATAAGTGATGAAATCTGCTTTAGACTAGAATTCCTTCTGCACAAAGTCCCAGAATAACAATGAATTAGATAAACTCATTTTATATAACAAACCAAAATGCTGAGTGCAGGAATGGGTGCAAGCAAGGAACAGATTCTTCTTCCACCCATGGGAGTCAAACTCTCGTTTTTACTCATGGAGCTTATGGAAATAAACCCTTTAAGTATATGTATGTATATAAAATCAAATACAGGCCACACAAAGATCCCCATGCTGAATAAAGACAGACTTTTTTTCTTCTCAAACCTGCCACTTTCTCTGTGTTAGAGCTGTATCCTTCTTCCCTGCACTTAAATTAATTTTAAAGCTGTTTCCATGGCACCATGGTTAAATTCATTAGGTTTGTCTTTTTTTAAAAAAAGGTTGACCATGTAAGGGGAGATAATTTTCAAAGTTTCTCATATGAAACAGGCTTATTTAGAAAGGTACAAATGAACAAAGGTGTCTGAAATACAGAATACTACAGGATAAAAAATATAATTCAGTGTTAATTCCTTCTTTGGAGAATAATTTTTCTAAGTTGCCTGAAATACCTGTAAGCTTGTGGTCTGTATAAAATGCCATTGGAGTCTTCCAGGAAGGTGAAGCCACTAAAATGGTTCACATGTGAAAATCTCAGTTTTTAAATGATGACACTGTACTAAAAGCAAAGCGCAACAGGAACAGGCTTGCAAAGCTGAAAGTACCCCTTGAGTCCAGTCTGAGTTTCAGGGCTCAAACACTAGACTGAATCTTGTTATAAGCTATTGATTTTCTTTGGAAGATTCCCCCTTTAAGATTAATTCGCCACAGAACAACTGATAGCTCTTTGTTTTCCTCCAGCTACAGAAGTTCCATTCTTCAGGAAGAAGAAGAGAATTAAGATTAATTACTCTCTTTTAGCTGATGAAAAGCCAGAATGTGCTCTTGTTCCATCACCCAGGAACGTGCACTGGGCCAGGAGCAGGCACAGCACTTTTTATCCTCTCGAGGTTGGTGGTGCTGGGGAGGAGCAGGAGCTGCTGACAGTCTGGCAGGCTCTGTCTTTGGGGCAAAATAATAAAAATGGGCTGAGATTACGGCTCGTGTTCTGAGCGCTCCAGGGAAAACACTTAAGTCCCTTTCCCAACACATGAGCGTGTGTGTTTATAATGGTTAATAACCTGTTCTCTGCCTGTACTGAAGTCAGAAGTTCTGCTGCAGCAAGACATGCAGTGATATAAAATGGAGGGAATTTAGAGTATCACGATCCTTTCCACACAAATGTTTCCATAGTCCTCTTGGGAGTAATAGAATACCCTTTATTCTCACTCAAAGCGTTATAATTGAGTGCATAAGCATTTTGATTTGTAAATGACAAGGGAGGTAAAGCACGAAGTAAATGGCAGCAGGGAACAGCTCATCTGTAACCATAATATTTGTATTATGCTGTGCTACCTGATAAACTGTTGGGATACCTGATTGAGAGCAAGCACAAAGTATGTTTCCAGCACAGCAGGGAACAAAAGCAAATGAAATCGCTCAAGAAGACAAGTTAAATGTTTGTTTTGATTCAGAATCCCTGTAAGAAGTGACTAAGATCTCATTAAGGAAAGAAAATTATACATTTTTGTTTATCCAAAGTTTAATAAAAACAGCAAAAGAAATGTAGTTTCTGCATGGTGAACCTGTGCTCCTGATTTGTCTTGTTTTCTTAGACCAACACCTGGCAGTGATGTAGGGAAATATCCCTGTCTTTGTAGTAATAAAAATTTGGAGAATAAACTCATACTTACCATGAAATGTTAGGATTTAACAAGGTGATTTTACCCACATCCTGATTAATTAATCCACAGGTCTCCCTGTCTGTTATTCCTTGTGTATAAGTCCACAGCAAGAGAGGTGCTCTTACTCTGTTAGTAAATTGGTAACATCACTGGTACATGTCCGTCTATACTTCTAGCAGTTCACTTGGTGTTTTAAAAAACTACTGTGGTTTTAAGATTAAACTTGGTAAAAAATATTGACTTTGTTATATTAAACTAAGGAGAACAGCAAAAATAACCCATTGTTTGAAATAATTTTATATCTCTGAATCTCTTGGATGTTCTATTAAAAGTCAAGTTATTTAGGCTGTTGCTGAGAAATGTGGTTTATGTTTTGTTTAGTTTAGGGGGGAGGGTTTACCGCTTTGACAATTGTTTTGTGATTTAGAGGAAATGTATATAATCTGCTGGTTTAATAGAAAGGCAGGTCACTCCATTTTCAGTAATATGCCAACAATTGAATCCTAGGTAAATAAAAGAGACTATAATTATTTTTTTACTTAAAAGAATAAGGCTAAGAATGCGTGGAAGGAACTGAGTTTTCTCCTGCTTCTGAGCAGAGAGAAATGCAGGGAAATGCAATAATGACCATGCAGTAAAGTGGCAATGCAGTCAGGGGTTAGCCATACTTGGCTGTAAAATCTACTTCAGTAAAAATAATGTTACGAATTAGCAGTGAAGCTACAAATGGTGTCTAACACTCCATTAGACCAGTTGGTAACAAAGAACTAACTTGCAGTAAATGGTGTTCAACAGTGAGCTTTACCCAGGGTTCCCTGGGAAGTCATGAACACTGGGTTATTTTCAGCAAGTGTTACAGCTCTTAAAAAAATTACAGATTTAAAAAAAAAAAAAGGATCTGCTATAACCTGCTTTAGGTTTAAAATAGTTATCTTCAGATGCCATTTTGGCTGCTGACCTTACACTGAGGCTCTTATAGAGAAAAACATATTTATGCCTTGTTTATATGCAATCATTGCAGCTAGAAAAAATAAAAAATATGACCCAAATAAAATGTAGAAGATCCTTTCTCTTTAATATTTTTATATACTAATTTCCTTTTCTAAATCTTACATTAATTTATTTGCAAGTAGGAAATGAGACTAATTTAGATAATATTTAAAACTTGATGTTTCTCTTAAGCATCCACAGGACTACAGTAAAAAAGTACAAATTGCTGGCTGAAGAGGTCAGATTGGCTATGCACATCTCAGAATTGTCTATTAGGACTCTCACCTCTGAGCTAACACCAAAAAATTATGTAAATGATAGACTGGAAAAAAACCCCCAAAAGCGAAATGTGATGGATTCCTGCCATCCAAATGCTGCTGGAGCTGTTGCAAGTGTCACAATCATTTGGATTCTCTTCCACATAGTAGGAAATGCAAGGAAGAAAAAATCCCAGTTGAGCCCCAGAGGTGCATAAATGTGTCTGGGAGCTGTTTGCTGAGTGACTTTGGGGGGATTTTTGACAGGGCACCCGTTGCTGCAGCCGATTGCTCTAAACCGGGGATATTTTTGGCTGACCTGCCACTCAACCACTCTTGTCATTCATCGTTAGCAGACAGAGCCAGAGCTGGGTAAACATAAATAAATGACACTGTTCTGCCATTCACTTTGTGTGAGGATCAAAATGAAGTTTTAGGCTCAAATGCTTGATGTTGATTATGTCTTGGATGATGCGAAATTTCATTGCAAGCTGTAATTTGGCACCGACCCAATCCATCATTGACTAAAGTTGCATCTTAAAAGAGAATAGGGGTAATGTAGGAAAAAAACCCACTATTAGATGAGTCTATCATCGTTTCTGGATTCGTGCAGGATTTTCTGACTAAACACTGCATTTGAAATTGTTTTCTCATTTTAAATACAACAGATGCTCAGACACCATGATGATGAACTCAGTATAAACGCTCCATTTGGTAGATTCAGTTATATAATGGTGCTCTGAATTTCTGGGAGAGTTCTGTATTTCTTTAGCAATCAGTCCAGAAAGCGGCAGAAAAAGGTTCCTGCAAATC